ATGCTAACGAGCCACCTTTGTTCCGTTTGAAAAGATTGAGATATGCTTAAAAATTCGATTTTGATATCTTAAAACGGGCCCGGACAAGACACGAAAATCATTAGACTATCAAACCTATTTTTCCAAAGCTCCTTGATTAAAAATTAGTGTTTTTAACACATCCATGGCACTCTATAATAGATAGAAATTTAAAATACTATTTTTTAAAGCGAGAATGTCAAAAGTTGACATATGATATGTCATTCGATTCAGAGTGTCATTTTCTATCAAATAATGCAAAAACATACCGGGGGTGTCATTTAAAAATCAAAAGTTGTAGTCATTTCCGGTGAAACAGGAAGTGACCAAAATCAATTGAATACGTCAATAATTCCTAATTTATGTCATATACTGACATACCAAATCTCGTTTTTTTATCTAAAAAAAAATTCAAAAGTTATAGTGGTGAGCCACTTTTGAGACGCACCCGGTATAAAATAACAGCAATCTTCATTTCATGCCACCGCTGACGCCGTTTTTTTTTCGATTATATGGTAGTTAATCAGTACAATAATTAATTTTATTACATTACTACGTTCACTAAGATCTAAAATAGTAATTTTAGTGTAACAAAAATGTTGATTGCTACAGTAATACGTTGTATATTCAGTTTACGGTTGGATGCTATCTACCAACACCATATAAATATGACAAACACGTTCTATGGTTGCATCTCTATAATATGTTCTATCTTCTATCTATGTTTACTTACTATGTATTCGAAAACTTAATTTGAGTAATATATGGTAGTATAATATTATTAATATTAATATTCAGTAATCGCAATATGAATGAGAATAGAGCTTTCTTTTAATCACAATTCTTATAAATTGAACTTGAAAGTATGTGTTTCCCAGAAAAGTAGGTGGTTCCCAGACTATACAAATAGGGAATTCCCAGAAGTTCATGCTTTTAAACCTACACTTTTTTTTACTACTTTACTGCTATACGAATTTTATTTAAATTTAAATGATTACATTACACTTTTAAACATTTTGTTTACAGTTTCATCCAAACTCAACTCGCCAGATTAGACTTTAAATTATTTATATTTTGTGACGGGGATTCGTTACAATTATTTTATTGGGTGTCGAACCATAAACTTTATGATAAAACTCGAAGAATTTCAACAAAACACTTTTATTAATAAACTTCACGTTTCCGTGACAAATCAAATCATATGTTTTTTCTACCTACTATCCCTCGCTCTTTTTTATAATGGACTGGTCCAAGCGGTCCGAGAGGGGCCCTATAATAATAATGGTTCTCTGTTACAATTTTTAAATAAAACTTGTAGAAACAATCTTAAAAAATACTTACTACCTATTTTGATTTTTTTCGTCTGAATTTCTTAATATATTCTAAATGAATACACTTTACTTATTAGATAAGTATACACATGGCATATATATGATTCCAAAAAACGGCGTCAAATTACCTTTGAAATGACAATCGTCAGAATCGATCGTCGTGTCAAAAAATTGTACGAGTATCTAAAGTTTTTTTCATCTAAATCGATCACCGTGTCAAAAAATTGTACGAGGATCTAAAAATTTATTTCGTGCTATGATTTCGTTACAGAAGTACCTAAACATTTTTTTTATCTAAATCGATCGATGAGTCAAAAATTGTACGAGTACCTAGAAATTTACGTAGAAGTACCTAAAAATGTTTTTCGCCTCAGAAAACAGATCGTCGTATCAAAGAGTTGTACGAGTACCTAGAAATTTATTTCGGTACTGTGATTTCGTTGTAGTAGTACCTAAAAATTTTTTCGTTTAAATCGGTCGTCGTATTTGTGTTTAGACATTATTCGATACAAAATTACACTTCTGAGGGTGCATCCACACTATCTTTAAAACGACGTAACGGCGTGACGACCTTGAATAGATTTCGAGTAATTCTATTGGCTGAAATTTTTGACAGATGAATTTGACAGATAAAATTTATGACAGATGAATTTTTCAGCCAATAGAATTACTGGAAATATATTCAAGGTCGTTACGCCGTTACGCCGATACGCCGTTTTTAGGATAGTGTGGATGCACCCTCAATAGAATGTCATCATAATATGTCAATTTTTGACATTTTCGCATATGGTTATACATATACCATATGCGAACCTAAAGTTTTTTTTCATTTTAATCATCATCGTGTCGAAAAATTGTACGAGTACCCAAAAATTTATTTCGGTACTATGATTTCGTTGTAGTTTTTCATCTAAATCGATCGACGGGTCAAAGAATTGTACGAGTACCTAAAGATTTATTTCGGTGGTATGATTTCATTGTCGAAGTAATGACATCAAAATAATTACGATCATCGTATATATGATAGTGACTGTACGATAAGGCGGTTTTCTATGATATTCCTCCCCACAGGAAAAAGTTTAAACAAAAAGGTACCGTATGATCGAAAAAAAGCGGCGTCCAGTTGGCTTGGAAATGACGATCGATGACATTCACCATATAATTTTACATATAAAATGACAGCAATTTTCATTTCATAGCCATCGCTGACGCCGTTTTTTTTTCGATCATAAATATGATAGAATTCAGTTATTTCACAATAATTAATTTTATTGCATTACCTATTTCGTTCAGTGAGATCTAAAACAGTAATTTCAGTGAAACAAAAATTTTGACGGCTACACGTATTCTTTAAACTGTGGCTACACACTACAGTAATAGGTACGTTGTATATTCAGTTTACGGCTGGATACTATCTACCAACACCATGTAAATATAACAAACACGTTTTATGGTTGCATCTCTATAATATGTTCTATCTTCTATATTTACTTTGTATTCGAAAATTTAATTAGAGTAATATTTGATAATATAATATTCTTATTATTCATTGATTGCAATATGAATGAAAATAGTGATTTGTTTTAATCACAGTTCTAATAATTTAAACTTGAAAGTATGGGGTTCCCAGAAAAGTAGGTGGTTCCCAGCCTCTACAAATATGGAATTCCCAGAAATTGATGCTTTTAAACCTACACTTTTTCCTACTTTACTGCTCCATGAATTTTATCAGACGCAGAAAATTTAACTTATTACATTTATACTTTTAAAATTTTGTTTACAGTCTCATCCAAACTCAACTCGCCAGATTAGACCTTATATTATTTATATTTTTAAATAAAACTAGTAGAAACAATCTTTAAAGAATGCTTATTTTCATTTTTTTGTCTGAATTTCTTAATATTCTAAATGAGCATCTTTTTTCTACCCGTCTTGCCCACAGTGCAAATTTTTAAATTGCCGCCCTCATATCTGTATGTAATAAAAAAATAAGTTAAAATAATTCTTTATAACAAAATAGAAAAAGGTTAATGATAAATACACACATACCCTATGATTCCAAAACACGGCGTCAAATTACCTTAGAAATGACAGTCGACGGAATCGATCGTCGTGTCAAAAAATTGTACAAGTACCTACCTAAATATTTATATCGATGCTACGATATCATTGTAGAAGTAACTAAATCTTTTTTTGTCGGAATCGATCGTCGTGTCAAAAAATTGTACGAGTATCTAAAAATTTATTTCGATGCTATGATTTCGTTGTAGAAGTAGCTAAACTTTGTTTCTTTTAAAGTATAAAGATAATAAACGGGGTTCCATCATCACTTAGTAAACACTTACAAAATGCTTATTACAAAAAAATTTCAGATAGAAACGCTTTCGCACAGATGCATTTATAAGACAGAATATATATAATACTAACAATAAGTACAATAATATTCACTATAGCAGAAATGCACCGTTTTTACTTCTGCACTGTGATCAATTACCGCGTCAAAAGGTCCGTTCGTCTAATTCTAATATAAATATTTGAGAATTAAAAGCGGCAACGTCGTGGGTCTGGCGAAAACGAATAAACTTCTATTTTTTATATAAATGGGACAAATTAAACGGTCCAGCATCAGGGCCTGAAGGCATCGCTTGAACATTTTTCGTCCGATATACCCCGGGTCTGACGGCCTATCTTCAACGTACCGGGTCTGACTCCGTCGATTTAATAAATATATATATATATATATATATATATATATATATATATATATATATATATATATATATATATATATATATATATATATATATATATATATATATATATATATATATATATATATATATATAATAACATTTACGTGTAAAAAAACTATGTTACATTGTAAAAACTATGTTGTTACACGTAAAAAACTATTTGTTTCTGTTAAAAAAACCTTTTTTACGCAGAAAAAACACTTTTTACAAATAAAAAACTATTTTTTATGCGTAAGAAAATATTCCTTTAATTTATGACTTTTTCAACATTTCAAACTACATTTTTTCAAACATTTCCTTGAAATTTTTGAATATAATAGAATCTTCCTAAACAGTAGATGTTCTCTATAAAAATATTTTTAGATAATATCCTAAAATGAAAAAAATGCTATTACTATTTAATTTATTTTTATTGTATTATTAAATATTACGTTCGCCTATGAAGGGGTCTCATAGAAAACGCTAAAGACGCTACAGAAAACAAATTGATTTGTTTTCATTTGCGTTTTTTGCGAGACACGCCGAGCGCTAGACGCTTTTGGTGGGGCCACTCCTATATAATCCTGTTATTTTGTTTTAGACGCAAAAGACGCTTCACGCTAAAAAATCAAAAAACGCTCTCTGTGTGGCCGTGCACTTAAGCCTCGGGATCGCGCTGGAAGACATAACTAGTTCATAATGTCTACACAAAAGGATACTTCACAAGAAAAATTTACCATGTAACGATGATATTTTTTTTATGTTGCCATAGCCAGCTCTCCGTCTATTAGCAGTTAATTTGTTTTTGTGTTTGGAAGAATTTAGTAGGCAATCACATTTTACTGTTGCTGTTAAGGTTACAAAACTTAATAAATTTAAAACGTTAAACATTAGTAAAATAATATATTTTACAGCTTACCCAGGTCTGCCATTTCCCGTTTCTGAAATGCCATTTCCAGGTTTGCCCGGATATGGGCGCTTTGGTGAGACGTTTGATGGTGGAATCTCGAAAGGGTATGGTGCTGGAGGTCGTGTTGATACAGGCGGTGGTACTGGACCTACAAAAATTTGAAATCGGAAACATGATTATTTTAAATGTTTTAAGTTATATATTTTAAACTTCAAGTTTTACAATTATAGCAAGAAGAAGGAAAGAAATTTAACAGTTTTAATAATTTTATTAATGTTATCTTTATTTCTTTAAAAATATTTTCTATGATAATTGATAAGTATAAAGCAAGTATAATCTTAAAAAATATTTTTAAAGAAAATTGCATACCACTCCTGAAAATTGCCACAAAAAGTACATAGTATTTTTAATCAAAACCTCATTTTCGCCTGTATTTATGAATAAGAGAATACACTTTTCACAAGGTGTCTATCAAAAAGTTGCCGCAACTATGTTTAATTAATAATAATAATAACTGATTTTGGAAATGACAATACGCTCATAAACATTTTTGATCATTTATATATGTCAAATTAAAGCTTCGACTCTCTTTGACTGTTGTGTCTAATTTAATCTTTGTGAATCCGACTGTGTAAATAATTCAATCTTATAGTGGGTGTTTTTTAAAAGTCGCTCACCCCTATAACTTTTTATTTTTCAGATAAAAAAGCAAAATTTGGTATGTTTGTAAAATCAAAAGTTGTAGTCGTTTTCGGTGAAACGCGAAGTGAACGAAACTAATTGAATACGTCAATTAATTCTCATTTATGTTATATACTCATATCCGAATCTATTTTTTTTTATCTGAAAAAATAAAGAAGTTATAGGGGGTGACACCTAGTAGAATCCCATTTTGCTGGTTGGGATACATTTTCATTAAAAATCTATCTGTGTAGAGATCATGTAGGCATCATCATGTGTATACAGGGTGGCGCATCTCATACGCCGCGGAAGCTCCAAGGTCAACGGTAGTTATATCGAAACGAAATTTTGGCAGCATATGTGGGTTAACTGAAAGAATTTTATAAAAATATATAGAATTATACAGGGTGTCCCCAAAAAAAGTTACACATCAAAGTTGTGTTTCTTCTAACGTAACACCCTATATATTAATTGATTTTCGGATTCTAAGAAAAAATAAAAGTGAGTTTTATTAAACAAGCATATACCTAAAATCTAAGGATATTGACATATTTCACACTTTGTGAAAATAAACAGTAAATTTTAAATTTCGATAACAGTACCTAAATTTTAGTTGACCTTGTATAGCCTGATATTTAATTACAGTAACCATTGTATGTTAAACAAAATTGAAATTTGACCCGAAAAGTAATACAGGGTAAGACAAAATTAATATGGAACATTAGTCACTTTTAAAAGCAAGTTACTGCTTTATTTTAAACGGAATACCTAGTATATTTTTCCGGTGTTCAATGGGGTGTGTCTACCCCTCAGATAATGATTTTCCTAGATATTTTAATTTTTATGATTTTGCGTCAGTAGATCTTTATTATTTGAAAAAATCTAGGGTGGCTGTGTGATATACCTTTTGTTAATTTAACAAAAATTAAACATTTTAGAGTAAAATACTCAACGGTACCTAATAAAAAGATACACGTTTAAACATATTTCAATTATTACAGAATTAAAACTAGATATAAACCTATAATTATGTGATAAAAATTAACTAGATAAAATCAAATGCTGAAAATGCTTCCTTTCCTGTTAACTGCATAAAATGATTGTCTTTTCAGAAGGATCTTTTCATTTTAAAAGGCATATGTGAAGTTCTACCTTGAAGTTCTACCTCGAAAAGCAGCTACAATAATTTCTCTCATGTTGTCGGCAATAGTTAGTCGAGTTTTGTGAACACTCTCTTTAAATATCCCCATAAAAAAATAGACTAGATAAAATCAGGATTATTTAAGTATTCTATTAGTTGGTTTGGTTGTGATAGGATAAGTTTGCATTTTCGCATTTTCGCAAATTTCTGAATTTTTTTTGTTTTAACTGACACAAAATGATAACTAGTTGTTAAAGTTAGACTAATTAGACAGCTATATTGAAGTAACGTCAGACATATCACAGCCACCTAGATTTTATCAAATAATAAGGATCTACTCAGATCAAGTCTTGTAAATGAACATATCTAGGAAAATCTTTGTTTGAGAGGTAGGCAACCTTAATAGTATTTTAAGGTGTTCCATTTAAAATAAAAGAGTAATATGCTTTTAAAGGTTCCAATGTTCAATATTAATTTTGTCTCACCCGGCATAACTTTTTGGGTGTAGTTAATTTAACTACATATTAGACTATACCGGGTAAATTCCAAATTAGGTAGCTCTTTCATTGAAATTACCGCAACCTTACATTTTAGGCATATACCTCTTATCAAACTCACCTTTATTTTTCTCCCAGAACCCGAAAATCAATTAATAGATATGTAGGGTGTTCCATTACAAAAACACAACTTTGATGTGTAAATTTTTTTGGGAACACCCTGTAGAACTCCATATTTTTAAAAAGTACTCTGAATTAACCTCGGAATTAACCTACATAATATGCTCACAAAATTTCATTTCAATATAAACTGTTGTTCTCAATATAAACTGTTGTTCTCCTTGGGTCTCCGCGGCGTATGAGAGGCGCCACCCTGTATAAATAAAACACCTGGTCACGTATCAAATTAAATTGTTACTTAGGATACCTGTAGGTGGTAGTTTAGGAGGAGCTGGCAAATTGAAATCAGGCGGCAGTGGCGGAACATCAGTTATTCTTGGTGGGCCCCTATTATTTATTCTTGTGGAAACTGGTCGAACTGGACGGCCCATTTCTAAAGCTGTATTGGCATGAACATTGACGTTTCCATTCAAGAGTTTGACCAGACCAGTTATGATATCCTGTATATCTGGATTGGCCTAAAAATAAAGGATATACATATATACAAAAATATTGATTGAATCTAATGTCTATGTAAAAATATTTTAAAATTATCTTTTAAATCATAAATAGTGAAAATAAAGTGCATTGTTAGATATAGGGAGAGAATGTAAATCAGTGATTCCCAAAGTGGTCCAGGTGGACCCCCAGGGGTCCACGGGAGACTTGCTGGGGGTCTACGTAGGCGTGAACAAAAAATGGGGGTCCATAAGATGTTAATGGGGGTCCACGAAAATTTATCTGCTTTTGATAGTAAAGAGCAAAAATGTAAGCATAGTTTTTATAAGGGCCTACCTACATTGTTTTAAGTACCTATCTAAGCAGATAATATTTTAATAAGGCAAGCGACTGTTACTTGTCCAAACTTGCGTATTCGATATTACGTACAATTTCGTGTACAGACTTGCAAAGCGCTATCCGCCCGACAATGCTTAATGCTTGTTCAGACATGAACTTGATCACCACTATAAATACTTGATGCCAAAGGCAAACGCATTCATTTGTTTCCGGAATTTCGAAAAAAAGGCGGAATTTGGAAAAAAAGTTGTGAGAAAATTTATATCTGTGTTTGCTAGTGCCGGAGAAAAGTAAGTAACCTACCTTTTTTTTGTTATAGTACTTAAGTATTTTGTTTACGTGTACTAGTCGGTTGATCACAACGGCCTGTATAGATAAGTAACTTAGTAACTTACAGATATTTTAATTGTCCTCTTTCGATTTGAAGACAAACACAGCACGTTTTATTCAATTGTTTTTTCACGAGAGAAACACTGCCTCTCTAAAAAGGCCGAATAAGCAATATTGCAGAGCAATTAATTTTGTAATTTTTCTTGCAAATAACTACTAATTTTATAAAACAGTAATTTCATAATCATTTTAAATTGGTTTTGAAGTAACTATTTTATCAAAACTATTCCTTTTCGGAAAGAGCGAGCGGTGCGCGGGCGACGGGAAAAGGGCGGGGCTTGGACTTCGATGCCAGTTTGTCACGTTTTAACAATGAAGCCGCAGACAAAAAATACGCAAATACACGGAGCGCGTGAACTCATTGATTTAATAAAATGTTAGTTATCGTTTTTATGGACAATTTTGGGATTTCGACTTTTATTTTTCCTACACAAATATGATCAGTATTCGATACTGAGTACACCAATTTTTATTTATACTATTAAAAATTAGTGGTAAATTATGTACTTTAAAATTGATACCGTTTTGTGAAAACGTCTGTATTTGTCTCAGCGGTTTATTAGTTGGTCCCTTTACAAGCCGTAATTCTATTTCCGCGTGCTGACAAAGGCTGCGGTGTGATACCTATATTCAGAAAAAAACTTGGTTACTAAAACATTTTTTTACAGGTAAGGTAACTGACACGAAACATGGCTACAGCAAAGAAAAAATGTCGACAATATAGTATCGATTATTTGAAATATGGTTTTGTTCCATCAGAGGCAGACAAACAATTGCCCATGTGCCTATTATGCAACAAAGTTTTGAGCAATGACTCTATGAAACCATCAAAGCTCGAAGATCATCTAAAAAGGTGTCATACTGATAAAATAGGTAAAGATTTAAAATATTTTCAAACATTGAAAGAAAAATATGGAAAGAGACCCACCATGCACAGTATGTTCGCTTCAACATCTCAAAGTAACGATGATGGCTTGCGGGCATCTTACAATATCTCATTACTTATAGCAAAATCTGGAAAACCGCACACTATCGGAGAACAATTAATTTTACCCGCTGTTGAAGAGGTTTTAAAAACTGTTTTGCACAAATCTCCATTTGACGTACTAAAAAGAATTCCATTAAGTAACAATACTGTACAAAGACGCATTGATGAAATGAGCTCTGATATCGAAAGCTTTTTGTGCAATCATCTGCAAAAAACTCATTTTTCTATACAACTGGACGAGTCAACGTTACCCAGTAATGAAGCATTACTATTGGCATATGTCCGATTTATTGTTGAGGAAGAAATTCACGAAGAATTGCTATTTGCCAGAACTTTGGAGACTGACACTAAAGGCGAATCAATATTTAATGTCCTGAGTAATTTTTTTACGGAAAAATCGATCCCATTTACAAACATTATTTCAGTGGCAACAGACGGAGCTCCTGCAATGGTCGGGCGATATCGTGGGTTTATAAGTCATCTCAAAAGAATTATACCAGGACTTACAGCTATTCATTGCGTAATCCACCGACAACATCTTGTGGCAAAACATTTAAGTGACAGGTTGAACCAATCTCTTCATTTTGTAATAAAAGCTGTCAACAAAATCAGAAGCAATGCATTGAATACGCGTTTATTTGCTCAATTGTGCGACGAAAATGATGAAGACTTCCAACGACTGCTCTTACATACTGAAGTACGCTGGTTGTCGAAAGGTGCATGCTTAACGAGATTTTACTCTGTTTTCGATTCCATATTAGAGTTCTTAGAAAGTAGAGATCCAGATTTAAAAGAAAACTTGATCAAATTCAAAGCAGACATTGCGTATTTGACAGATTTGTTTAAAAAATTTAATGATATTAACTTGCAGTTACAAGGGGACAGCCTGAATTTAATAAAAACAAAGGGGATAATTTCGGCTTTTCTTGGGAAATTGAAATTTATGAAGCAAAACATTAGTCGGCGCGAATTCTCTCAATTTCCAAACTTGTCGCAGGTAGAATGTATTGATGAGGATATCCATACCTACAGTCAACATTTAAGTGCTCTGCATGATGACTTCAAAACCAGGTTTGAAGATATACTGACGATGGATATACCACCATGGATCATAAATCCATTTGATGAAACGGAAGTGGCCAATGTTGTATTACAAGAGGAGCTGCTCGAGCTAAGCACTAATGAGGAGCTGAAGGTGAAATTTAGAAAAGGCTACCCAACATTTTGGCTGCAAGCAGAAATACCCGAAAAATATCCTGGACTGTGGGAAATCGCAAGGAAATTTTTAATAGCTTTTCCCTCGTCATACCTTGTCGAAAGGAGTTTTAGTGCCGTTACAAACCTCTTAACAAAAAAGGAGCAAATTAAACATCACAGAGCGGGGGATTTGCGGTTATTGCTCACAAAAATAAAGCCAAACATTGATCGTTTGCTGACACTCCATCAGATACATCCTTCCCATTAATTAAAATTATGACCTGAACCTATATTACCTTAATATTTTTTCTTGTAATTCTATTCTTTTAATAAATAAAGTGATATAAAATGTACCATTTTTCGTTTTTATTTTACATATCGGAATATAGGGACAGAACTCAGAAGTGACACAATTTTTATTTTTTGGCGACTTTAAGAATGTGGTAGAAATGTAGCAGCAGGGGGTCCACCGAAACCAGTAAAATTTTGAAAGTGGTCCACGAGAAAAATAAGTTTGGGAACTACTGATGTAAATAATAGTGTCAATATTTTTTTAAGTGAAATTTAAATAATTTGTGTTAGTGTATCTATGAAGGTTTTATAATACAGGGTGGTCCAAACTGTATTCCGGAAACTTCGGCAGCATATTCTGCAGATAAAAGTAAGTAAAAAAGTTCGTATAAATGTATGTCCTAAAATGTTGAGTTTCGGAGATACAGGGTGTGGAAGTTTTATTTTTATTTCAATTTTTTCCAAATAATTTCTGAAGTAATGTCAATATTTTGATTGAAATTGGTGTCTGGGAGTTTTTTGACATGAGAAATTTGATTTTGATGTCAATATGTATGATACATATTTTTTAACTGGTTTGAAGAGTAATAACTTTTCATCCGTACCTGTATAAAACTACTGAGTAAAAAAATATACATTTACGATGTTTAACATAAAATCGGTCTCATGGTAAAAATCGCTACGAGTAATGGTTGTCGAGATATTTGGAATCGAAATTATCAATACCTATCATCATTGACAAAAATTAAACATGTTGACTAAATAGTTATCAGACTGAAATCATAAATTTGAAATGTTTTTGTGTCACAAGTTCAACAGAAACTGTTTTATCATCATTTTTTGCAGAAAAATTTATGATTAGTTTAAAAAAATAAAAATTTCACAAATTTATTATTTCAGTTTAATAACTATTTACTCAACGTATTTATTTTTGCCAATAATGACATGTATTGACTATTTCCATTCTAAATATCTTTGAACGGTTACTCGTTACTCGTAGTGAGTTTTACAAAGAAATATTTTTTAAGAAAAAGTCACGCAAATGTATATTTTTTCACTCAATAGTTTGGTTTGGTTTGGTTTGGTAACGGACGAAAAGTTTTTACTTTTTAAAACAGCTAAAACACATGTAGGTGGCGCCCCCTATAAATAAGAGTCACGTCGAAATCCCAAGTTCCTCATGTCAAAAAACTTCCACACACCAATTTTCATCTAAATATCGATATTAGTTAAGAAATTATTTTGAAAAAATTGAAATAAAAATGAAATTTCTACACCCTGTATCTCCGAAACTAAGGATTTTAGGACATACATTTATACGAACTTTTTTACTTATTTTTATGTGCAGAATATGCTGCGGAAGTTTCTGGAATACAGTTCGGACCACCCTGTATTTGAAAATGGCAAGAGGTAATAAAGATTTTGTTCAAATTATCCTATAATGATCTGTTTAATAATTGATTGTATACAGGGTAATTCACGGCCATGGTAGGTTAGACATGTATGGGGAACCGGTAATCCATACATATATAAAAGCTCAAAGGGTTTTTTTCTTACATCCATCCCGCCGAAACAGCTTTACCAATCTTGATGATTCTTTTTTTAAATGAAAGGTTGTGATGTTTAGATTTGTTGTGAAGTATTTTTATATTCTTTAATGGCTATTTCTTTGTGTAAAACGACTAAATACCAAAACATACCTGAAAAACACCTACACACAATACCTCCAGAAATAAATTATTTGTCATTGTCAGTGGTGTGTAAGTTAGATTATATATCAAGTTTTCAGATATTTTAGGGTTCAGTTTTTCAAATTCATATTCTTAGAGTGTAAAATTATGTCGAACAATTTGTTGTATGAAAATTCCTTACTATTTGGTCTAGAAGAATGAAATTCTACAGAAAGAATTAGAAGAGATTTTTGATATTCATGAACCAAATGGATGAAGTTAGTAAAAATGTATAAGTCTAAACCTTCGTGACTTCTAGATTATACACATAAAAATTTGCACAAACGATCATTTAAAAGACATGAGTAAATTATTTGGACAAAGCGAATTCATACCCTTAGGGAATAGAATAGGGAATGAAAGTTTGGCTGTACGGAAATGCATTACTAACTAATAAAGAAGTATAATTTATATACAAGGGTTTATTTAGTGAAATCAATAATATGAATAAAATTTCTAGGAATAAAAAATAACATAATATAAAGAGTGTATTAGTGCTCTTGAAAAATAAAAAAATCAGGGGAGTATATCAAGAAAAGCGACAATTGAAAACTTCAGATTTTGTAAAATTTGGACTTTGGTTTCAGTGAAAAATAACAAAATCGATTTTTTGAAAGGATATGCAGGGTGAGTCTTAAATAACTGCAATGATTTTTAGCGGTATAGTATATTTTAACCCCAGAAATACGATTATGAGCTTTTTCGCGAACATTTTTCTTGGAAAATTTGGAATTTTTAAAAAACTTTTTTTTTAGTTTTTAGTTAAAACCCATAATTTCTTGATAATATGGCAACATACTGTTTGACCAGCGGATCTGAAGCTACTGAAGGAATGCGAGAAAAAAAAATCGATATTGCCACGTTTATCTATAAAATTGCAAAATTGCCAGACATGAACTATAAATTTAATATATTTTTATTATATATAATGTGTTTAGCATATATTCTGACGTATATTACTAAGGAATTTTAAGATAGTTCATATTGTTGGATATGTTTTATTTAATAACTTATTTCTTTCATTCTGTATAATCTGCTTATTACGAAAGGTGAAGATATTTCAACGATATCATTGGCAAACCGGCATCGCCGCGCATGACCGCCTATTCATCGAACATGATTGGCGAGAGTACGTTACAGGATTTGTTACCACGCGGTTGCCATGGCTTTTACGCCTTTCCTATTCGCTAGTCTTATCCCCACCTTCACGGTAACTTCTGAAAAGAGCAGAAATATTGAATACTATTGAAATATCCAGTGGCGGTGTCATTCTTTTGATCATTATTACTTTCTTTCATTATTTAATACCGGTTATCCTAAACTTTATTCCTATATTTTTCGTATATTTAATAGTTAAAATGTGTTTTATTGTTTTGTTATCTTGTTATAATGTTTTTCGTTCGTAGTTTTTAACTATTAATATTAAGTTTGATCGTATATTTGTGTTTCAAAATGAATAAATTTGTTAAGGGTAAGACGCTACATAGCCAGGACAAGAGAAATAATAGCTAATTTATATAGGTAAGTAGAATAATAATAATGTAATTATTAGAATACTAAAATTAAATATTGGCTAAAATGAAAAGCTCCCATTTTACCTAAATATTTTAGCTAAACTAAAATAAATGTAAATAAACGTGGATGAAATCTCATTTGGTTTATTTCCTTGTGTTCATAACAGGGTTTGCGACGAAGAAGCTATAGAGAGTTCGCTTAAGTTGCCGCTTAAACGTAAACTTGAGCGGATATCTCTTTATACCGGAGTTAGCGTATCGGATATAAAAAAACTCACACAGAAGATGAAAAAGACTGGAAACTAACCCCGATAAAATGATATCCAGCCCTGGAAAGAAACGGCTACGTGAGCTCGACGACTTTGATTTCCAAGTGGTCAGGAATTTGATAAATAGATTTTATCTCGAATTCAAAGTCGTCCCCACAATTAGAAAGCTTTTGCAAAAATTGCAGGAAGAATCGAATTTTCCTTTGGCAAGGAAACGCTTAGGGGGTTATTAAAATCAAATGGATTTTTTTGGCGTAAATGTTAAAATAACAAAATAACAGATAAATATTAATGGAGCGGCCCATTATATCGCAGAGAGAGATATAAATATATACGCGAAATTCGAAAATATCGCCAAGTATTATCTATTTGGATGAAACATGGGTACACAATGACCTAACCTTTAAAAACTGCTGGCGGAGCGATACAATATCTGGTGTAATAGGCAATATTGGATCTACTGGTGAGTAAAATTATGTTTTGTTTGCGCTTCCAAAGTTAACTATTTTCAAGATTTTTTTTTTGCTGGAAATAGTTATATCTAAAATTATGTATTGTAAAAAAAATATAGTTATAACAGATATATAAATAAATATACCTCAAGACTCAGTCTTGATCATCTGCTGATGATGTTAACATGGTTAGCGAAACGTGCGCCCAGTGTAAAAGTAAAAGTGTTTTGGTGTATTGTGCTGATTTAGTGTTTTATTTTGCTGTGTAACACCAAAGGTTCCAACCCCCTGCTGTAATTATTTCTTCTATTATATTAACAACACATAATAATAAAATTATTCAAAATATTTAAGGGAGCTTTAATAAAAGCTTTTAGTGTGTTTATCTGCTAACTCAACAGTAACGATTCAAACAGGATAAAGTTTTTTAAAAAAAATTATTTATATATTTATTGTATTGTATGTATTTAGCTTATTTATGACCCAAATAATTCATTTTGAGTAAAATTAAAAAAACTTTTTTTTGCCGATCTTAATAGCCTACCATACATGTTGGTATGGTCGGCTAAAAACGGAATGAAATAAAAACAAATATAATTAAACACTACAACGGAATTGACTTAAAACTTACAAATGTTTTAATTTTTTTTAAATGTTTGAATGAACGACCAGATTAGATTCTGATTTTCTAGATTAAAATTAATTCTTTGTCTAGTTTCTAAGTTCACAGTAAGGTCATCAAATTCGGAATGCCTCTATATCTTTATAAGTTCCAGCCATAAAAAGAATATATTACAGGAGATTCGAGTTTTAAGTGGAGGAAGTCGCGGGCAGAAGCTAGTTTACATATGAAAATAGTGATTCAACAATATAACAATCAAACAAACAAACACAACGCTTTATTGTACAAAAAGCCAAAACAGCTTCATCGACACAGCAAAACAAAAAAGCACAAAAACAAATATACAAATAAACAAGTAAAAATGTCATACAATACAAATCAATTCAAAAAGAAAAAAATTTACGTAATAAAATTACAAATAAAACATATATGGATATTGCAGAACACAGGCGTATCTAGAAAATTTTACAAAAGAAAAACTGTAAATGGATAAAATAATGTTATATATTATAAAATCAAGAGTTATAAAATATTAAATACTAGACCTTTAACCAGTGTGTGAGATGATCAAAATTTTAAAATTCAAAATTGTTCATGATTAAACATCAACAAAAAAGTCGTTTAGCTCTCTCCAGTAAGTATAATTTCAGAGCTTTGCGAAATGCGGGAAAGAATGAAAGTGACTTGATATTCTAAGGCAAATGATTGTACATTTTCTTGGCATTGTACAGTATTGAGCCCTTAACTAGTTCTGAGCTCGGGGTTGGCAGATAAACATCGTGCTCCGCATTCCTAAGTGGATAGTTGTGAGAAGGCCTTTCCGGAATAGAGAATATGTGCTTGCGGATTAAGCAAACGGATTCAAAAATGAATAAGGAAGGAAGAGTCAGTATTTTGAAATTTTTAAAGAAATTCTGGCAGTGAGTTCTACTGTTTAGTCCCAATAAGTATCGAACTGCTCTCTTTTGAAGTTTGAAAATACGATCAAATTTTGTCGCGCAGCAAGTATAAAATCATGCTTCTAGTTCATGTTTCAATGAAAGATTTTTATCTGAAGATAACATTCTTTCATTGAAAAAAGAAGCAATAGAAATTGATGAAGCGGTAGCTGCTTGAGGAACTAGATAAAATTACGTTTTGATTAGTGATGAGTGAGACTGGTCTTGGTCTTGCATTTTGTCTAGGCCAAGAGTCCAATCTGCGACTTACGCAAGATCAAAACCCAGCATGCAATACTCTTGCGGTCAAGTATTCTTTTCACGTTGTTTTTACTTCGCATTTTTCATAGTTAATAATTAAAAAAAAACTTGTAATTTTCATTTTTTTATTTTCCACCGGCCTACAATTTTTTAAATAAAAATATTAAAAATAGTTACTCCGAAACTATTGCCAGCAAAAATTTACTTTATGGTACATAGCAATAAAACAAAAACAAATACTTTTTGTCGAAACATACCGAATATTACCGTATCAGTCAAGGCACTCATGTTTTATGAGAAGACCAAGACTAAGACCAAAGACCAATATTAGTATTAGTGTTGATTGAAAGAATTGGGAAGATAACGCGAGCTACATCTCGAACAGGTTTGGTGCCACGAAATCGCCCATAAGGTTGCGCATCTTCTTGAAATAACGCTATTAGACTGCGAGTCCTGATATTCGTCTTGCCTATCTCCATCATTACTTTTGAGGTTTTGTTTATGTATGAATTAATAAAAAACGTTCTCTTACCTGTCTAGGCTTGCCAGGTTCACTAGAGAGCGTAGCAGTAGTCGTCAATGTCGTGGCAGTTGGCGATATTTCCTGGGGCTCCTGCAGAGATCTGCCCTGAAGAGCCCCTTTCACTTCCCCCGAACTTTGGTCGACGGTTGATTGAACGACGCCAAAATATTGGTTTTTGTCCTAAAAAGCAAGGCACACATTTTAATTTTTATTCGTATACAGGGTGTCCCATTATTCCGTGGACTTAGAACTACCATGTATTTTTGAAATCAAATTTTTTGGGCATTATGTAAGTAACGGATATTGGAGATGGAGAACTACCCTCTATAAAACCGTCCCAGATACTGGCTTTTGTCAAAGCCCTGGGACTGTATGATGAGTTATGATTCAAGAAAGGGGGACACAATGGATCTGTAAGGTCGAAGTGATTAACCCCACTCCCACTCATTCTAAATTCTAAAAATTCTAAAAGTAACAGATATCAGAAAGTAATCTTAAACGGAAAAGATTCTCTTTTATTCCAAATAATATCTGGCGTACCTCAAGGATCCGTTCTCGGGCCTTTGTTATTTTTACTGGACCTATACATCAGATTCACCAACTCTCAATAGAAACTCTAAATTAGCTTTATATGGTGATGATGCACCAATGTATTATTCTTTTGATTTGAATAAGACTCAAATAGCATCGGTCAACATTAATAACGACCTAAGCTCGATATCAGAATATGCCTCAACCCACTCTCTTAAAATTAACCCTGAGAAAACAAAGGTAATGTTATTTGCCCCCAAAAAGGTAAGAGAGTTTATACAGGATGTCATTGAAATGGTGTAATCGGGGGGTGATAGTACTCCTAAAAATAGTAAAAAAAGTATAGGGCGGAAAATGCATATTAAGGGAGTTAGGGGCACTGAAAGGGTGAATTTAAAAAACGGTTGTTTTGAAATTGTAGGCTTAAAAAACGAGATAAGATTTCAAAAAAAAATGCTCTGCCATAAATTTTGACTCTAAATCAAATGGTGATACTGAAAAATTATTTGGAAAAGCGGAAAGGGTAGTTTTTGCAAGGGCAGGGGTTGTTTTGTGAATAACTTTTTTGAGGTTATTTTTTTGAACGTGGGTCCTTTTTTTTTGAAAACTACATACTTTTTCCTACAAAAAAGGTACTCTTGTTGCACATCGCCCAGAGTGATGGTTTTCGATAAAATTGAAGGCAAAGAGTTTGCTCTGATGGGTTGGTAACTCAACATAAACTTATGAAAGTTATGGCGGTTCAAAAGTAACCAAGTAGTTATTAAATAATTAATTGGAAAATCAAAATTTCATGATTTTTAAAACATTTTACTGCTTTAAAAACGAAATAAACCAATTACCAAAATTCCTTATTAAAATAATGCATTCCTTAATTCATTCACGGTAAATGTTTCAAGTGACCACCATTCATTTCAATGCAGACATCTGCTCTTCTTCTCCAAGATCTGCGTACCCTGTGGAATATCTTTGGTGTTTGTCCGAATTTGATTGGAACAGTCAATAATGCGTTGCCGTAGTTGTTCTTCAGTATTAATCGGCACTGAGTAAACCAAAGCTTTCAAAGTGGCCCCAGAAGTAAAAACCTAGTGGATTATTTCGTTTTTTAAAGCAATAAGATATTTTAAAAACCATAAAATTTGGATTGTTCAATTAATTATTTGATAACTACTTGGTTACTTTTGAACCGTCATAACTTTCATAAGTTTATGTTGATACCAACCCATCAGAGCAAACTCTTTGCCTTCGATTTTCTCGAAAACCATCGCTCTGGACGATGTGCAACAAGAGTACCTTTTTTGTAAGAAAAAGTATGTAGTTTTCAAAAAATGAACCCACGCTGCAAAAAAAAAACCTCTAAGAAGTTATTCACGAAAGAACCCCCTACCCTTACAAAAACTACCCTTTTCGCTTTTCCAAATAATTTTTCAGTATCACCATTTGATTTAGGGTCAAAATTTATGGCAAAGCATTTTTTTTTCGAAATTTCATCTCGTTTTTTGAGCCTACAATTTCCAAACAACCGTTTTTTAAATTCACCCTTTCAGTGTCTCTAACTCCCTAAATATGCATTTTCCGCCCTATACTTATAGAAACGTTTTTTTACTATTTTTAGGAGTACTATCACTACCTGATTTTTTTACACCATTTCAATGACACCCTGTAGAGTCTAATGTTTTTTTTTGCAATTAGATGGTAAGGCGTTGAATTTTTGCTCTTCCGCAAAAAGTCTTTTTTTGGCAAAAAAACATAGGCGTGTTTCTGGGTTCGAAATATACTACCAGTATCTGCACTTATTTCTGAGACACCCTGTATAAAGTCATAATTTATTTTCAATGAAGTTTCAGTGCTCACTTGTCTGGAATTTCCAAAAACTTGTATGGAAATTATTAGCACCCTTTGGGTGTAGAATAAAAAATAAAAAATTATATATCTTTTACCGCTAACTTTTGAACTCTACGTGTGAATTAACATTAATACTTACTGTTCTGGACGGTTGAATTAAATGGGCAACCCTTCCCGACAACTCTACATCGTTTCTATCAAAGGAATCTTCAATATTTTTGAATAGTAACAAATTATCCTCGGCCGTTGTTTTTGACAATATTGGATCAGCTGAACGTTCTACTCGTTTCTCTTCAACCGAGGAAATGCTGACACCCAACAAATTCTCGGAATTTGTATCCAAATTTCCCCTGTCTTCATTGTCATCTTTCAATAGTAACGTTGGAGTAATGTCTTTGGGTCCCGATGTTTTTAACGCCTCTGCCGAGACTATCTGTTCTGGATGTTTGTCAGCAGAATTTGGAGATATGAATGAGTTGGGGTAAATATTTCCGAAACCTGTAACAAGAAATAACAATATTAATATTGCATTATTCTTTAACGGTTTTTAGGTTAACGTACCGTAAACATAATCAGTGGTTCGGAAATAAATCGTTACTATACATACGGAAAGATATGCGATTAAAAATGATTTAAGATTTGTTAATAGAAACGTAACGTTATATTTATATAAATATTTTATGAAGTATAACTGGTTCCTTCGGCTATAAACAGTTAGAATTAAAAAGTGTAATTTATAGTTATTTCAACCTTATAAGGGAAATATACATTTTTAATTTTAATGTAAGTAAATCTGCTGTGAAAAACACCTGGCCCGTAAATGAGTTTTGTCTAGGTAATGTCATCTCTCTTTCTCTAATTGTGCTCTTTTCACTAACCTAAAATTATGTTAATGCGCGTTATGATCATATTAAAAGAATTATAATAATAACGGTATTATTATAAAATAGAAAACAAATTTCTTGCAATATAGGTATATAATAAAATTATATAAGAATTCTTGCCATTTAGCTGTTGATATAGAAATTTAATTCCACGCTGTGTTTGTCATAATGTGGATCAACCTGCTCTCACTACCGGTTTCGGAGCCCTATTCCGTCATCAGGTGAGCTTGGGTAGAGTCCACAAAATGACAACCACAGCGCAGAGTAGTTAATTCCGACTTGTCGAAAAGTATCAGTTAGATATTTAAGTCCCGAACGGGAGATAGCGGCCTGCGTGCAATGGTAGTACTTTCGTACCACCGAGGCGCAAAAGGATGGTAAAAGGCTTTTTTATTAGGCATTTTGGAGTATGACTCCGAGACCGGTAGTGAGAGCAGGTTGATCCACATTATGACAAACACAGAGTGGAATTAAATTTCTATATTAGCAGTTAAATGGCAAGAATTCTTATATATATATATATATATATATATATATATATATATATATATATATATATATATATATATATATATATATATATATATATATATATATATATATATATATATATATATATATATATATATATATATATATATATATATATATATATATATATATATATATATATATAATTCTTATTATTATAGTAATATAGATATGGTATTATACTAGTAATATAGACTATAAAGAAGTTTTTATTGTCAGTATGCAGTATCTTGACTAGAACGACCGCTAGAGGGCCCAACGCTGTGGCGAATAAGAATACAATACTACAATTTTTACAAAAATTTGACCTAAGGGATACCAGAAATAATAGCGGCATAATCCTCAGGCAAGCTCCACATATGTGAAGGGCACAGAGGGTCAAAAGAAGTGGAGGAGTGTTCCTCCTTCGGAGGAAAAACATCTGTTGTCAGAGGAGGATTAGAATTAGGAGGTTATAGAATGTGTGATGAGTTATAACTCAAGGAATGGGGGCACAAAAGATATTTAGTGTCGCAGTGATTAACCCCCCTCTCACTCATTCTACATTCTTCTTCTACATCCTCAGCAAATTTCAGACTTTTTTGTTCAACCATTTTGCTCTATCTGCTAAAATGAAGTGGTGGAGAAAGGTTAGATCTGTTTTTATTTAAATATTAATAACTCCGCACTAGATAATAGGAATCCAATAAACTAAGTTTCCTTTAAAACAGTGTTTCTTGTTTTATACTCTACCTCAAAAGAATAACTATATGGATTTGACCAAAGATTGCCTGATAATGGAAAAACGTAAACAATTGTTATCTTGTTGCTTATCAAAATTGCAACGATGAATAGATTAAACATTAAAAAAAAAACAGTGCCGGACTTGAAATTAGTTGAAATAAATTATGTTCAAATGTCCGAAACAAAGAAAAAGTATAAAGTGTGGCATATCATTGTACTCAGGAGATCGAGTTCTTTCAAAAACTGAAATAAAAAATGCAGGTCCGTATTTAAAAAAATTAAGTCAGCCCCTGTACCTCCCAAATATATATTCCAAAAAACTCAGCAATCCTTGAAATTTTTAAAACTATTTTGATGGCATCTTGGTGAACATCCCAAAGCGCAACTTTGCCTTAATTTGACCTTGTTCGTACCGTAACTATTACGGTTACCGAGATACCAATGATCGTACCTCAAATTTGTAGCACCCTGTATACTGTCGATAATATAAAAGAGTATCATAATGTTATTATATTGTAAATATAATAACTTATACAGGGTGTTATTATATTGTAAATATAATAACTTATACTTATACCTCATACGCCTCGGTTAAATATACGGAAACGGAAAGATGTAGAAACAAAATATTTTATGGGTATATGTGGGAAGGCAACGTGCACAATTTAAAATTATTTTGAAATGTACAGGTTAAGTCAGAACTAAGATCCATACCAAAGTTATATTTTTTCTTATGAAACACCTGGAATTTAATTTCATTTTTGGATTCTTGAGCCTATAAAAGGGAATTTATTATAAAGGTTAAATATTTTTAAAATCTTTGGTTTCTGAGATATTTAAAGATATTTAAATATGCATGCTACAATAGAATAAATTATTAACACCCTGTACACATTACTTTTTAGAATTAATTCTTGTGCTGAGTTTAAAGGTAGAGAAATAAACTTTACTGAAAAATGTTATTGCCTCCTTAAATTTATACAGGAGTATCAAAATTTGCTGATCTATTTTATGCATTGATTTTATATAAAAACTTCGTTATTTCAAATTCAACGCCCTGTATTTTTTAAAATAAATCGAAGCAGATACAAATGCTCTTTCAAATTATGTTAGAGTTTTCTATACTATCTAGCTCAGTTTTTGAATAAAGAGCAATTTTTCTATTATATAGGGCTAAATACCGTCATGGCAAGTTTCTAGTGACAGTTAGTAGCTATTTTCAAAATCGAAATTAGTTTAGGGACTTTATTTAAATTTATTGGAGTTTATTTTTATTTAATATGTAGAATAGTATTTATTAAATATGTATTCATTATTCCATCAAGAAAAACGAAGAAGTAGTTAGTACTTTGATTTATTTTACGATGACTTTATATGGCTTTTTTTATTTTTATTATTAACTTATTTTAGACAATAGTTTTTAGAAAAATTAAATAAAAATTGCAAAACAAAAACCATGAGTTTGACAATAATTTAAAATAAGCCATATTCAAAATTACGGTAAAAAACTTAATAATTTCGAAGGTTTCGACATAATTCTATTAAAAAATCAGGTATTATTCTTAATGCATCAATAACTATGCAAATATCTAAACAAACCGCCACCTTTATTAAGTTTATTCCTAGCCCCCTGTGTGGATTTATTTACCTTTAATAAAAACAAGAAATGGCTGTTTATGTCCTTGCGTATAGTATCAATTGCATATCAGTGGAGGCTCGTGACCCTTGTGACTGGGTAGGCGACAAAATTTTAGTTGCGTCTATTTGACCCCCCCTAATTTACATAACACATACAGTTTCACTTGGAGCGGCCCAGATGTTACGGCACTATATAATACTATATCCAGTGACTTACGCACCATTAAATCTTGGTGCGATTCTAATCTCCTATGCCTCAACCTTTCAAAAACTAAAGTTTTGTCATATAAAAGTACTATACAACCGTTTGTACTTAATAACACCACTATTGACGTCGTGGACTCTGTGAGATTTTTAGGACTTGTAGACAACTCGTTAAAATGGGACGTCGGCACATCGAAGCTTTATCAAAGAAACTAAGCGCTGCCTGTTTTGCTCTAAGATCAGTTTCTAAGGAACTTAACTCATCAACCTCTAGAATGGTTTATTATGCCCTTTTTGAGTCGCATCTTCGTTATGCCCTTCCATTCTGGAGTACTTGCTGCGCGACAAAATTTGATCGTATTTTCAAACTTCAAAAGAGAGCAGTTCGATACTTATTGGGACTAAACAGTAGAACTCACTGCCAGAATTTCTTTAAAAATTTCAAAATACTCACTCTTCCTTCCTTATTCATTTTTGAATCCGTTTGCTTAATCCGCAAGCACATATCTGCTATTTCGGACAGGCCATCTCATAACTATCCTCTTAGGAATGCGGAGCACGATCTTTATCTGCCAACCCCGAGCTCAGAACTAGTTAAAGGTTCAATTCTGTGCAATGCCAAAAAATATACAATCATCTGCCTTTGAATATCAAGTCGCTTTCATTCTTTCCCGCATTTCGCAAAGCTCTAAAATCATACTTACTGGAGAGAGCCCTATATACGGTAAACGACTTTTTTGTTGATGTTTAATTATAAACAATTTTGAATTTTAAAATTTTGGTCATCTCACACACTGATCAAAAGTCAAGTATTTAATATTTTATAACTCTAAAATTATATCTATTTACTGCGTACTGTTCTGCAATTGTCCATGTATATTCTTTTTGTTATTTTAATGACTTAAATCTTTTTGAATTGTATTATTTCTATTGTGTATTTTTTGTGGTTTGTATTTTTTTTGTGCTTTTATTTATTTTGTGAGTGCTTTGTCGATGAAGCCGTTTTGGCTTTTTGTACAATAAAGCGTTGTTTATTTATTTATAATACCCTAAACCAGTTTGTAAATATATTGTTATCTCTGGGTTAAAAACATAGCTCAAGAATATTTAGGAGAAAACTAAAGCAAAAATAACAGCATTCAACGTAATTATTAAATTAATTAATTATTACTATGGAGGACAATTTAGAATTTTATTTTATTTTTATTTATTTACGCAAACTTAAAAAGTGGTAGTATTGAGAGAAAGAATAATTATGTTTTATTATCTCTATATTAAATTGATGAGTCGGTCTCTTAATAAAGAAAAGTTATTTATTATTATATCAATAAAATCATCAGTTTGTTGAAGAGCTGTGAAAAATCTTTTTAGATTGAAAGTAAGGCCAAGTAACGATAAACGTTTATTTTTTGGTTGGTTTGATTTTGGCTGGTTTTGGTTTGTTTAGATTGGTTTAGTTTTGGAGGAGTTGGTCTTGTTTGGTCTGATTCTTTTGTTTTTTTTTCGTATGTTAGAAAA